ATGCATATATGGCAAGGTACACATCAGAGGGCCTGAGTAGGATTGGATCTGAAGGTTAAAGTTATGCACAGTGCCTATCTAGAGACTAAAATTGTTCCTCATTCCTCTTTCTCTTGGGTAAAGATGTCCAAACACAGCTGCTATAGACAATTGCTGTCATCATTTCCGAGTCTTGTTACCAGTCATTCATTGATTTGTTAATTGACTGAGTATATCTGATGAACACATGGGACTTAATCTAAACCAGGGATTCCCAAAGTGTGACCTTTGAACTTATTTTGTGTGGCCCCTGACTTCTGTCAGAAATGATAAAGATCTAACATTATTATCAATAACTGAAAACCTTCTTGCAATGGAAAATATTAAGTACCTTCTAAAGTTTTAGTCTTTAAAAAAAAAACACACTTTTTGCAATCTCTAATTTATTTTGCTTCATCCCGCCCCAAAAGAAATTACAAACTGAATAACTTTTGTGCAAAACACTTTATATGGTTGAATCTACAATGATGTACTCCTTCCTTTACAAGAAACAAAATGTATTAATAAAACATTGTATGTTTAGTTTCTTATAAGGTAGGTAAGTAAATTTCCCAACATGTTTTATATGATTTTACAGTTTAAAATTTTATTTATTTTTTAGCCAACATGGGTAATCCACAACTGTAAATTGTACTACTTATGAAATTCTTTCAATAACAATACAGCTACATTTTCATGTTAGTAGTGAGCACAACTAAAAGCTGTCTGGTTAACAAAATTCCCCTAACCAAACCTAAGGAGCTCTGCAGCTCCTGCATGGTTACTATGGCCCTCTGGATTCTTTGTACCAATTAGGTGACCTCTGAAGGCTGCAGGTCACACTCAATCTCATGTAGGAGGGTGTAAAACATGTTAAGATTATTATTTACTATCAAAACATGTATATTTGTCTTCCACTTCACAATAATGTCCTATTGTGCATAGTTTTATGTTCTGATATCCTGAAATAATATATTAGTTAATGTAACAAAGTTTGCAAAGGTTTAAAGAATAGGTACATTTCAAAATTTCCGTTTTGCAGGGGATTTGTCACTGTTTCTAACAAACAGCTACTAATATAGAGGTTCTCTGCTGGTGATAATTTACTAACAGTCAATCATACTAGATTAAAAAGGTATATAAGAGTTCCCAATAACCTGAGGAAATTAGTTATTTTGGGTTGGGATGAAAAAAAAGAAACTGGTCTTTCCATAAATACTAATAAAACATTGAAAAATAATTCAGGTAGATGCAAAAAAGTAAAAAGTGAACACTTGTGAATTTGTTTGCCATTAGGAGTTCAGTAAGAGCAGAAACCTAAAGTGAACATATGAGAAAATTTAAATGCTTCCACTGTTTGTCCTGAAAATAACCAACAAATAAACTTGTTTGTTAAATATCTACTAAAACTTCAGTATTATCCAGCTACATGTCCTACGTCCATCTCTAGTGGACTGGACCTACAGGCTGTCTGGTTGTTCTATCTTCAATGTTCTTGTAACTACCTGTGCTTCTTGTCTGTTTCTATCCAAGTGATGATTAAGTTGAGTGTTTTAATCAATTCTTTTTTAACCCTCAATGTGCCTCAATAAAATGTAAACTGTGGAATAAGACACAGGTGTTCAACTGTTTTTGAGCCGACATTATTATAGTTTTCTACGGGGAGTCATTCAAGAAGAATCTGTATAAAAACAGAACTGCGGCAGGTAAAAAAGGTAAACATGTTTTTTTGGTTGTTTCCAAATTTCCAAATAAAATTAAGCTTTTGTTTAAGGAAATATACAAATATTACTTAAGATTTGTTTGAGAAATAGCTAAACTTTTCAGTGCTTTTAGATTATAAGCAGAATTAATTAAGGCAATATTTTCAAAATCTACAATTCTTTTACAGCCCTACTGTTTTTTTGTTGTTTTTTTTTTTTTATGAAAAAAGATCTTTTACAAATGAACATGAAAAATGTATATCTACATTAAAACCATTAAAAGATGTTTTTATTTTTGCAGAATATTATCAACTTGCAGGTAGAAAGTCTCAATTGGTATCTAAATATTTGGATAATCTCTGCATGCAAATCTTTTTCAAAGCTAAAAGGTTTTCATAACAAACTTCTGTAAATATACGGCATTCTAAATGATGAGGACAAAATAAACCACCTGACTCAGTTGATACAGTCTGCAAATCACCAGGATGCTGTCAGCTAATGTGAGCAGCTTGTGCTGACATGGCTGATTATAATCAAATAATCGACCTCTGACTGCTGACATGTACGCTGACATTGATTACCACTGTCAGCCTGTTTTCTTACTAAAGTTGTTATGGAGTTTGAAAAGAAAAGGATTCCCAGAGCAGTCAGATAAACTGTTATTAAATAAAGCTAAATCCAGCTTCAGATTGTTGTGCTTTGTATGTCTGTTGAAAGCCATTGGTTTTTAAACCTGCAACTATTTCTGAAATAACTGTTTTATTTTTGGATTATGCATCAGATTAAACAGACTGCTATGAAAGAAAATGTTTGTTATGGAGATAACACTGATACTCCATATTGTTAGGTAAGATCATGATCTTTTACTGTTTTTTTATGCTTTTAAATATCTAACTTAAAGCATGCTGATTTTAAAAAGGCTGTTTAAAGAGTTGATGGACTACTTTGTTTCCAAATAGACTGGTATGACACACTACAATTACAGAACCATCCAAGCTTCTTTGCACCCCTTGATGTTAAAAAATCCTTACACAAATTAATATTTTACGCTAGTTGCATAAGGCTATTAGCCTGACGTAGTCCGACTCAATTCTAGTCAGAATATGAGTCTGATACTGCTCCATAGAGCTGTGATTATGGGGCGTGTTTCGAACGAACCAGGAAAAAAAATGCCTCTGCACTCAATTGGATAGACCTACAACCAATAAGAGCAACGGAGTGCGTGATGTATGTTAAGCGAGGCATAGTTGTTGTCCACAAAACTCAAAGCGTGCAGTTGCACGCCTATAATAAGAAGATGAGCCTTGATCGCGTTTCTCTGTTCCTCTTTTAAAATTAATTTGCTGTCGATATCTTCTAGAACAGACCTAATAGCAGAATCTACTCACCTAAACTCTCCAGCGGCAGCCATTATTGTTGTCACCCAAGCACGCATTGGTCACGTGGTTGATTACGTTACTGTTGGTCATCTGTCCATCATCGTATAAAGTCCGCCCTGACAATTTGATTGGATCGCCTGACAGTAGGCTATAATACTCGCGCTACTATGGAGCAGAGCCAGACCGAACTTCCCGACCTCAAACTTTGTGGGCGGGACTAAGTTCGGAATGGCACCCAGGCTATAAGGCTATTGTATTACTGACACAAAAATACTTTGTCCACCCTTTTTTTTTTAAGTGGCCAAACCTCCTCTTCCTGAGAAAGAATCCAAGCGATGTTCTGCTTCAGTGATCTATTCCACATCAACCCCACCCATAAAATGAGTCGTTTGTTGCTTTTAGCACCATTTGCTTCTGTTTAAGAGACCACTGAATACTTACCGGGACTGTTTTAGATTTTACTGGACTAATTATAGTGAGAAAGGAGGAGGTTTATGCTTGCTTCAGAATTACCCATAATGCACAGTTCTTTTCTGTAACCATAACAGAGCCATTTTAAATAATACCCTTTATTATGTCCTGGATTAGCTTAAGTTATTTAAAATCTTAAGAACTGACTGCTGTAAGAGCTTTTATTGTTAAAATAATGTGTCTTTGGTTCTGTCTGTAATTATATATTTCATTCTAACCTGTTTCCACTGTATCTGTTATCTGCTAGTGCTGGTCCTGCTCCAAGAGGTTCCCGCTCCTTTCCAGACTAATGCGCTCTCACAATGCAAGTAGTCTGGCAGGCCAGAACATCTACTGTAGATGTTCTGGCCTGCCAGTAGATTTGGAGGCTGATAGTAACCAGATCCAGTCAGCTTTTAAGTTAATGGTGCGTTAAAACTGAACATGATTTGGGCAGGAAAACGCTTAAATTATTAAATTTTGACGCCTGTTCTAGTTGGAAGTACTGGAGATCCCCTCTGAAAGCTCTCTGCTGCAGCCAGCCAGTGGGGGACTTCCTGCTGCCATTTATAGCTGCTGGAAGAGTGAATATAAAGAGTTTTTAAGGTTTGTGGTAAAAACTACAAGTACCAGAAAATAAAATTTAATATTTTTGTCGGCAGACAGCTCTGCAAAAGTAATAAGAGATTTCATGTAGTGTTGGTGTCCCCCCCAAAAAAAAACCTTGATCAATTTTTCTGATTGATGCTCCAGCATCCAGCAGGAAAATTTTAAATTGCTTAATGGTCGGATGCTCCGACACGCTGCCAATCAGACGCTAGAACGCTGGAATGCCAAAATGCTTGGATGTGCCATTCCCGCTCCCCACATGCGCCACTGGACCTCTCTACACCATCCCTCATAGACTTTGGATGTAAATCTGTTACTTTGGCGTCAATACACCATAAATCTTCATGGTCCATAAGTGGCTGGGTTTCTTTTTAAAACTTCAGAATGATATAAAAGGAAAGCTGTTAGATTCTTTTTCCTAGTTTGGGATCAGCTGTATCCTGACCTACATATGCTGTAAATTAACCTCCATTGTTACCATTATACAGGGCGCCTGCCCATGATAAACTGATTTTGCTTCTGACTATGATTCCTACTATGTGAGTTGAAACAGCAACAGGAAGCAACATGTTTCCCACTTCAAATGTCATCCTGTTGACCATCCTTTGGTTTAGTCCTCACAACTTTCTTACCATAGAACCAGACTGACTAGACTGTATAAGTGGCCATTTTAAACTTTATATTGTTATTGATAATATTTATATATATATCCTTATTATCCAACCAATACACAGCTATATCTGGCAGAACCAGTTACTGTGTCTTAATGAAAAGCAGTTAGATTTAATGGATATATTGTTATGATATGGACATATTCCTCATTCAAAGGACATGGAACAACTAGTGTTGGATCCTGGATTTTATTTATCCAAAACAAATGACCAAATAAACAGATGCAAGACCAATATTCTCCCATTGTCATTTTATGTCATCTTTATCCCACTGGAATTTATTTTTCTGTGTTTTTGTTTTTGACAAACACTTTTACAAGAATTAAATCATACAGAAAATCTGTGAAATCTTATAGAAATGCTGTGATGTTACCAATATAAGTTATTTATATGAATACAGGGGTGCTATTAACTATGAAAGGCATCGCAAGACTGTTTATAAGAAAAACTTTAACCAAAGACTCATGTCTTTTTCCAGACAGTTCAATCATAGCACTAAGTTATACTGTCCAGAAAAGACCTGGTTTAAATTCAGTAACATGTCACTATAAATGTTATGCTCACGACTCTGTAAGGGTTTACTGACATGGATTGAAATAGAAGACCAATATGCACAAAATATTTCTAGACCTAGAAGCTATCTACACTCTTGGTGTTATTCATTATATTACATGATATGTAATCAAAGCAGCATTAAGAGGAGGACCTGCTTTATATTACACAAAGTTAGGGCATTTGAATGGTTCTAGAGTAAATGCAGTACCTTACTCATCTTACAATAAGGACTGCAGAGAATGAGACAGAGACAGAATTCAATTTAAACTGTTCTTTATCTGTTGATTAACATTTGGGCCAATACTTAATCCATATTAATTCCAGTGTAGCAATATAATTTTATGACCTTTACTTAAAAGTTTGTAAGTGCATTAAGTGCTAAATCTATTGTTATTGGAGTATATTGCTGATTTATTCAGTTTTATCCTGACTTGATGGACATTCAGAGGACTGAACAGGCTCTGCTTCTGTCTTTACTGCCTCCGCCTGGCTGCTCTTCTTGGAACTGCGGTTGGGCGTTCCATTCCTGACACTTTCAGATTTCTGTAGTGTCTGGAAGTGCTTCCTGGAGCCCAGCAGTGATGGATTGTTCACTAGTGTGTACATCAGCTGCCAGCGAGCACAGACCCTTCGACTGCTCGTTGCCTTGTTGGATCCGTTTTCCTGAACTCCTGCAAGCATGAAAGAGGGACATGTTTAGGACACAATGAGATGCCAGAAGGAGAAACTGATCATTTCAAAAAGTTTTCACATATAGTTAGATTATATTAATTAAGTACCTTACATAATATATGTTATAGCTTTTATTTTATTTTGCACATCAGTATGAAATACCATAACCTTTTAATAATCTCAATTTGTTGATGAAACACATTCCCTAATTCAACTGGAGACCCTTACCATAAGTTTATATTTAATTGGCTGGAGAGATTTGAACTAAGTTGGTGTTTTTTTTTTTTTTTCTAATTATAAATCATAGCATTCTTGTAAACCTCTATTATTAAAGAGCGTCTGTCAAAAAGAAAAAAAACACCTCTACAATTACAGATAAGGAATTAAGGCTCCTTAATACAATGTTTACAATGCAATTATTCTTTTGTTGAGAGCATTTTTCTTATTTTTACTAATTAGTTAAATACTGTCTGGTGGTAATATCATATACACAGTTTTGTAATTATTTATTTAATTTAAAAGATAAACTTTCTGTTGGCAATTTTTTTTTTTTTTTTTGCTATTTCAGCATCAAGAATGACTTCAAGAATTATTCATTTCTATAATAAATCTGTCCTTTTAATCAACTTTAGAAACACATTTATTGAAAGAGCTGAACACTCTTTCAATTAATCTCAGTACCCTAAGATTAGATGTGTTTAGTGGTCATGACTGACATTTCCAGTTAAGGCTTGAAGGAGGAATCATTGATATTAGCTGTTAAAACTCACACATATGCATACTGTAAGTGTTTGTAGCTCAAAGTCTCTCTACCTTCTTCCGCATCTCGTATTTTCTGTCCGGCTCTGCCAGTCTCAACCTTCATGTCCAGCAATAGTCCACAAAAAGCCTTAAGCACTGGGTGAGATTGACTCACCTCCACCTTCAGAAACTGAGTGTAATATCTGTAAGCTGGATGGGTCAAAATGCAGAAGAAGCTCGAGGTCAAATCAAACGCTTTAAGAAAATCTTGATTAAATTAATCTGAGAATTGTCGTTACCCGGATCATGGGACTCGGCTGTTCGGTGTAGAAGGCTGATGTCTATCCGACCAAAGTGGATGATGTTGTACAAAGCTGTTATCATCATTCTCCAAATAGCGGCAATCAATCCCACCACAATGTTGGCCACAAACAGAAGGTAGGTGAGAAGAAAGAGGCTCTCTCTGAAAGTAACCAACATATTTATTTCAAAAGGATAAATTGGTTATTTCTATTTAGGTACATTTTCTTTAAATGTTACTGTGGAAATAACAAGACAGTCTTAAATCGGCAATCAAACGTTTCAACACCATGACCTGGATGACATAAAAGTTACACAGGCATACTGGAAAGATTCATACCACTTTCTTTTATTTCATGGTTATAGATTTATTCTCAAACCACCTAAATTCAATATCTAAATCCTTTCCCAAGCCCAGCACTTCAGAAACATTTTTTTCAAGATATGCAGATGATAAACTGTATATTTCTGTAACATTTACGATACATTTAGCAGTTAATTTTTTCAGTTTTTAAATGATTTAAAAAAAAAACTGTAAATGATTGATTTTACATTACTTCACATTAGCTTCATCTTGGTTTGTACACAATGCAAAACTCTATGTAAGAAAGATTAATATTCCTCTTGATATGTACATACAAATAACCTGGTCTTTCCCTGTCCTTCTACATCATTAGAAAACTTGAACCTGTTTCTTTAACAGAGGTCAAAATATAATACACTTGATTTCAAAGTGGAAATCAAACATTTTATTGTGATTTTTTCAATAAGTTAACTAATATTTACTTGTTGTTTATGAATATTCATTAAAGCTTATGTAGGCATTATTCTTAGTCCTTTTATCATGTTCATTCAGTTCAAATAATTTTACAAAAATAAGCAAAGTTCAACACATACAGACCTGTTATTCAGGTCTGTTGTAGCAGTGTCTTTTTTAACAAAGAAAATCTTAGCAGTTACATGTTGAAGTACCGTAACCAATATGACCGTCACCCAAACTGGCCTAAAAAAGTCACAAAGAAGAAAACATCAGTATGACACATGTTTGAAATGGAAATTCACTAAGGATGCTTACTCACCATGTCTTTCCAGCAACTTCAAAAACGATAATATTACGGCCATAAAAAATAGGAATGATGATTAAAAATACCAGAAACAAGAAGCAGATGAAAAAAACTAAGGTCTGGATCGCCATTCCTGCCAATAAATAATATATCGAGGATTAATTTTAACTTAGAACATAATTCATCATCAGTACATTGGAATATGTCACTCTCTAAATTCACATTTTGTTTTTTTCCACCTTTTAAATATAACTGCATAAACAGAATAAAAATATAGCATGAATGCATACTAATCTAATATTGAAAATAAAATCATTATGTTTGTTTATATCATATGTTAAGAACATGGTTGTGGAGAATTAGAGCCCAGAAAATAAGGCATTATGAGTTACTATATGCATACATGTGGTGGTTTTTTCAGTGAAATAAATCGTTGTATAATTAAAGTAATTTTTTTATGTGTTTCTTTAAGATAAATAAAAATAGAAAAAATACATATGCATATCATAGGCTGTTTTCTACAAAAATTAAGAAAATTTCATCAAAACCCGGGAATGCCCCCAACTGCTGTTTAGCTTTACAACCAAATATTTTTTACAGCAATTTGCGGAAGTTCCTGTTGTCTCAGTCAAGAATTTATCTGTTTTTTTTATTACTGTACAGATATCTGAAAAATGAAAGATATATTTCTAATGAAAGAGGTTGCAATGGGCTCTATGCACAGCTCCACTACTTCCTGAATTTAAGGTAGCTCCTTTGTTTCCTGTCTTTCATTACTGGACGAACTGATTAATCCAGGTGTTTCTGGCCAGTTACTTAGGTCATACACACCTGGATTAATTAGTGCATCCAATCATGAAAGACAGGAAGCAAAGGAGCCTCCTGAAGTTCAGGAAGTGGTGGAGTTGTGCATAGAGCCTATTTCAGCCAGCCACTATGGCTAACAGGACAAAAGATTTTGGCTACATTTTATGTAGGTTGTTGTGCACATTCCATAAAATAATACATGATGACAGCTTACAAATGCAATGATTGAAATAGAAATAGACCTACAGCTGTGTATTTAATCAGTGTTGCTGCAGGTCATTAAAAATCATAAAAGTCATTAAATTGTTATTTTTTAAATGAAGGCCTTAACTGGCATTAAATTCATTAAATGTGATTATCATGGCTTTTAAAATGCTTTATAAAACAAAAAACGTTTATAAAAACGATTTCGTCAGATATATTATATAGCAATATATTTGTGCTGAACTGCTTCCGTTTGATCGTAAAGCCGTATGTTCAGAAAAGAAGCTTGAGCTAGAGAATGGGAAAATGCAAATTCAAATAAAAGTTGCTGGAAAACGAGAAATTCAGGACATGGCTGCAGCCTGTCGACCTTAAAGATGACAAAGGATTTTACCGTGTGTAAATGAGAGTCATGGGTACTTGTTGATGGCATTAAAATTATTTGTAAGAGCATTAAAAAGCATTAAATTAGAGCTACTGATTCCTGTATAAACCCTGGTAATACAAAAAAGTCAAGATGATGCATGATGAGACATAGTTCTGCAGTTTTTGGTTCCTTTTAATTTTTGTTTTCGAGTTTTCACTGGTTTCATTTCCATTCTGTGTCATTCTATTTATTTTCTGGTTGTATTTGAGGTCTTATGTATTTCTTTTTTACTCTCTGCTGCCCCCTTGTGTCAGTCTCCTACCCCTAGCTCCCCTCTAGATCGTTCTGTCCACACCTGCTTCCAATCAGTTTATTACTAAATTCTTTGTTGGTTTTGGCATTAATAACTCTCCTTTTCAGTTACTGTTTGCTGGTTTCTCTTCTTTCATTCATTCCCTCCTTGACCCATGTGTTCCCCTTTGTTCTGGTTCTCTGTTTGGTGAGGAGTTATGTTTTGACTTATGCTTCAATTGCACCATTGTTTATTAAATCTGCAAGAAATCACCTCTGCTTCCGTCTCTGCATTTGGATCCTCTAAAAACCCCCACACATGCTAACATTAATTTTAACATTGCTAGTAGTTAACACAGTTAGCAGTAATGCAGAATAACTTTAGTAGTATGAAATACCTTTAAAAAAGTTTTAGGGTCTGCATGAAAAGAAATGTGTGGATAAAATTGACTATGATGCATTTTTATTTTTTTCAGTGCTCATTCATTATTAGGTTCCAGGGTTTTGTCTTGTTTGTTGTTGAATGGATTTAGGAAAATAGTTTGTCAAACTTATGATATTTTTATAACATTATAAATTATTATTTTTTTATTATTGTTATCACCGAGGCAAACGATTGCAGCTTGGTATCCGGTTAGACCCATCCAGCAGAAAACACCAGATCTGGATGGACTGATGGTCTTCTGGCTGTTAAATTTTTTATACACATCTCCCTTATAAAGTCCTTTAAGGTTCGTTCTGAAATTAAACGAAATCAAAGATTTAATAGGTTAGCATATAGAAACAATGTCTCACATTTAACTAGTCATGAAAATACACATAATAAACAAATCCAAATGAAAAACATATTTAAACTTATTTTTATGTGCACTAACAAAACAAATTTCAGGTGTCTGAGAAACAGTTGAGTAAAATCCTGACATCATGCAGTAAATTATCATTGATTTTATTTATTTCTTTTTTTTTTTTTTACAAAGATTATCTTTCTGTGTGGATGTTTGACTGCACATACCTGTGAAGAACCATGGACCTCATTAGCATTACAAGGCTGACCAAACAAGACAGCGTCATTGCACAGAGGTAGCACACTAACAGTACATGAAACAAAAACAAAATGGAAACGCTTGTTTAAATTCTGATTTTCAATTGCTTTTAACATGCAATAGAAAACTCTTCACACACCTTCCAGCAACCAAGTGTAGAAAGTCACAATTCTGACAACCTCCATCCTGTCATCTGATAAGACAATCCCAAATCCCAGCAAGAGGAAGGCGATGTTTTCATCAATTCCTGCATGGACTATGTGAAGAGTAGGCACCACCAGGACAACTAGTAACAGCGCAGTCTAAGGAGCAAAACACTGATACTTCTTGACATATTCACTTTCTAAAAAGGGAAATGATCATTAATATAGAGGCGTACCTGATAGATGGCCACACAGGTAACAAAGGACGAGACTGCTAGCTTCAGAGGTAACTGAAACACTGGAATTAGGATAAAAAACCACCAAAAGTCTCAAAGCAATTAAGTAAAAAAAAATCTGTATCAGTGTAAAAATTCTAACCTTTTTCAGGTAAATAAATATAACTCTTTGGCACTTCCAGTATTCTCTCTACCAGTGATGGTTTATCTGCCTCAGAGGAACTGTTGTGCAAAAATAAACACAGAGAGCAGAACATTTTTTATCCACTATCACCAAAAAATATCATGTTAACAGATTTTACCAAATAGCTGCATAATTATTTCATTATAATAACATTTTGAGTTTATGAATTAACATTATTTTTAACAGAAAAAAAAACATGTGAACAAGTGTGACATCCTATAGCACATAACCCAAAAGCAAAATTTCAGCTTGCATATTTTCTTAGCTCTGTTGCATCCGAGGCATTTTATGTTTGCTTTTGAAACACAATAAAAATGTGCACATTTATCTGTCATGTCCCTTACATTAATTAAATATCTATACAGGCCTGTTCATGAAGGGACAGGCATGTATGTAGTCTATGAAGTCACCAGTCCATCTTAAGACAACACACCACTGATATACTGTAGCTGAATGTATGCAGCTGATTATTTGCAGCCACATTTTTACTGGTGAAATTATATGGACTGCTGTGAACTAGTTCACTGTTTTCTTGTAACTGTGCACATTTTTGAAAGTGAAGTTCATATATGTTATGGACTACTGTACATACAGGTGCTGGTCATAAAATTAGAATATCATGAAAAAGTAGATTGATTTCAGTAATTCCATTTAAAAAGTGAAACTTGTATATTATATTCATACATTACATACAAACTCATATATTTCAGATGTTTATTTTGTTTAATTTTGATGATTACAAATGACAACAAATGAAAATCTCAAATTCATCATATCAGAAAATTAGAATATTGTGAAAAGGTTCAAAATTGATGGCCCCTGGTGCCACACTCTAATCAGCTAATTAACTCAAACCACCTGCAAAAGCCTTTAAATGGTCTTTCAGTCTAGTTCTATAGGCTACACAATCATGGGGAAGACTGCTGACTTGACAGTTGTCCAAAAGACGACCATCGACACCTTGCACAAGGAGGGCAAGACATAAAAGGTCATCGCTAAAGAGGCTGGCTGTTCACAGAGCTCAGTGTCCAAGCACATTAATAGAGAGGCGAAGGGAAGGAAAAGATGTGGTCGAAAAAAGTGTACAAGCAAGAGAGATAACCGCACCCTGGAGAGGATTGTGAAACAAAACCCATTCAAAAATGTGGGGGAGATTCACAAAGAGTGGACTGCAGCTGGAGTGAGTGCTTCAAGAACCACCACACACAGACGTATGAAAGACATGGGTTTCTGCTGTCGCATTCCTTGTGTCAAGCCACTCTTGAACCACAGACAGCGTCAGAAGCGTCTTGCCTGGGCTAAAGAGAAACAGGACTGGACTGCTGGTGAGTGGTCCAAAGTCATGTTCTCTGATGAAAGTAAATTTTGCATTTCCTTTGGAAATCAAGGTCCCAGAGTCTGGAGGAAAAGAAGAGAGGCACTTCATCCACGTTGCTTGAAGTCCAGTGTAAAGTTTCCACAGTCAGTGATGGTTTGGGGTGCCATGTCATCTGCTGGTGTTGGTCCATTGTGTTTTCTGAGGTCCAGGGTCAACGCAGCCACATACCAGGAAGTTTTAGAGCACTTCATGCTTCCTGCAGCTGACCAACTTTTTGGAGATGCAGATTTCATTTTCCAACAGGACTTGGCACCTGCACACAGTGCCAAAGCTACCAGTACCTGGTTGAAGGACCATGGTATCCCTGTTCTTAATTGGCCAGCAAACTCTCCTGACCTTAACCCCATAGAAAATCTATGGGGTATTGTGAAGAAGAAGATGCAATACACCAGACCCAACAATTCAGAAGAGCTAAAAGCCACTATTAGAGCAACCTGGGCTATCATAACACCTGAGCAGTGCCACAGACTGATCGACTCCATGCCACGCCGCATTGCTGCAGTAATACAGGCCAAAGGAGGCCCAACTAAATACTGAGTGCTGTACATGCTCATACTTTTCATGTTCATACTTTTCAGTTGGCCAACATTTCTATAAATCCTTTGTTTTTATTGGTCTTCAGTAATATTCTAATTTTCTGATATGATGAATTTGAGATTTTCATTTGTTGTCATTTGTAATCATCAAAATTAAACAAAATAAACATCTGAAATATATGAGTTTGTATGTAATGTATGAATATAATATACAAGTTTCACTTTTTAAATGGAATTACTGAAATCAATCTACTTTTTCATGATATTCTAATTTTATGACCAGCACCTGTAGTTAATACAAGCCTTAAATGTTATTTTGAGATTTCTAAGATTTTTATTATAAGATTTAGAACTCTTATCTTAGGGCATAACAATTTTAGAATAGGTTTTATTACTTTTTTTGAAATGAAAGGAATCTAATAGTTTGCCATGGATCAACAGTAAAAACAAAGGTATGGATACAGTTCTTTCTCCTGTTCCGTTTCATCGACTGAGAAAAATAAATCTCTTCTTTGAAAAAGTGCTACTGTACCACTATTAAAACGAATACACCTCCAGAGCTAAGAGTAAAACCATAAATGTTGTTCTATTAAATATATAGCAAAAGGGGTGACAGTGTCACATAAAATGTTATTGCATAAAAAATATCAAAATACACTTAAATGAGCATGTATTATTATTTACTATTTATTTATTTATTTTCTGAGGAAACCACATAACCGAGTGTTTAAATAAATCCATCATGGTAAGTCACACTGTTTGTCAACTCACCTAACAGATGAAGACTTTTTCTTGAGAAGGGACTTAACATAGTCAGTGTAGTAGCTGCTGTCAAGATCCTATAAGTAAGAAGAGTTGATTGTTTCATCCAAGTTGTAGCTACTAAATAATAATATGTAATATCAGCTGGGACTCTCACCTCATCCGTCTTTGGTCCTTTCACAAAGAGCACAGGAAACTGAACACAGAGATATGCCAGACAGGCCAGCTGGGGCAGACTTGCAAGGAGGGCATAGTACTTATAGATCTGCAAAGATGAGTATAGAGAAAAGCTACTTTTGCTGATATTTTAAACCCAAAAAATGTTGTTGAGGATTAAGAATGTTGCTTTGTTAAAAAGCTGCAACCTGCTTGGTGTTGAAAATTAACTATAAATACCGTTTATTTTCTATTATCGGTCATATAACATTCAATAGGAGTCTGAGGGAGTTTTGTAAACCTTTAAATCCTGTTTATGAGTATAATGGTTGATAAACAAAATTGTTATATTTTGTAAATGTTTCTTTACCATTGCTGTACTGCTGCCATGTGGCCAATGGTTGGAGTCATAGCAAGGATATATACAGATAATTTAATGTCAAAAATATTTTTTGATACATTAAAATAAAAGAATGAAACAAAATACAACTATGCAATCATATAAACTGTATTGTGACTCAATTCTAACTTTTCAAGTATTTCTGGCAGCATCCTAATTGTAAGCACAGTGAATTTACTTCAATCCTTTGAGCTTGTATAAGAAGCATTTATTTAAATTAGCTATACATATTAACACATTTAAAAGTATTAAAATAGCACCAAGGCAGATACTGAGAGATTATGTTAACGGTTGTTTCTAAGAAAATAAAAATAATAAAAAATAAGGTACAGTATATGGAGTGATTAAAGGGCTGAATTATTGATTATTTGTTATAAGGAGTGATGTGTTCAGTCAGGGATTGGCAGGAGTATCCAGTCAGTAAAAAGGATGACAGAAAACGACTAAAGGAAAAATCAGATGGGTTTCACCAGTGCTTTATTGTGTTTAATGAGGGCAATTTTGAAGGTTGAGAAAACCAACCTTAATAAGGCTTTCAATTGTACACTGTATCATCATTAATACATTTTTGCAGGATAGTTTTGAGCAGAACTCTGGTCCATCTGCATCCATTACACATTCTCTACTCTGAACTGACCTACATAGGTAGCCCAATTTATCTTTCTATTGTGGGTTGTGCTTAGTATAGCCAAGTAGGTCTGATACAAGGGGCCCATTTTGGCTTTTGGTCTACTTGATACCTTGCAAGCATAAGCAAAATCTATTTGGGCTCAAAAGAGTAAATAAACTGGCTATATGTGTGATTTAGCTGTTGTTAAATGATGAATTATTTTAATCTATACAATGATTTGAGGAATATCAACTTCAGACATAAAGTGGTGTTGTTTTGTATGAAGATAAGAGAGCCTCATATGTGATTCCCTCATGCATAGGACAAGATCCACACATGAACAGGACCAAATCCACACATGCAGACAATGCTTGTAACAAGCATATAAAATGTAAAGAATCATAAGACAAGATTTACTAAATTACTCTAGTGTTCTGGCTCCATAGTTTTGTTGTCTGTTCAGAATTGGGCGACAACTCACCTAGAGCCCAACTTTTGCATTTGAAGTTAGATTAAGATAATCCCAATCTAGCCAGTTTTGAGAGTTTGAATACCAGACCTTTGTGGTTACAAAGACAAAACAGTGCTTGAATTGATAATAGCTGTAATCATGTTCATGTTGAATTAAGAACCTTTACTTACATAGATATATTTAAAGCACAAGTATTTGGGGGTAAATAGTGGGACTGATATGGGTTCTAGATGTATCTCCCATTTTGTCAGGTGCCATAGCTGACATGTCAAAGAGATTTGACCATATGGCTCCAATGTATTCATTCAATATTCAATATTGAATGAAGACATTGAATTAAGAGTTAATATTCAATATTGAAATTTGTATTTAATTTACCTCTGGTGTCTTTGCACAATCAAACTTCTGCCAAACCAGAACCCCAAAGTGAGTGAAAGAAAGGAGTGCCCCGAACACATAACCAGCACTGCACTGCAGAGTGCCGCAGACCAGCAGAGGATAGTAGAGGACAGGATAGTAGAAAATAGCAATTATCTTCATGTACTCTGTAAACATAAAGAAAACATGTTGTTAAGCTCTGCTTTAAGTTAGATCATGGTGACTTGGTGAAACAAAAGTTCCATCCCATTTGCTCTAAAGACAGCCTTTGGTCACAATCACCTCTAATGCTCACTGGAGTATCTTTGATGAATGGCAGAGGGTCTGGGGAAATCACCAGCATGGCCAGCTTACTGAAGACCAGTCCAAACACAGCCATGACCAGACCCTTCTGCTGAGTCTGGTCTAGGAAGTTTGCTGGACTGAGGGATTGTGTAGACATTTTTGGTTAATATAGATTTTTATTAAAACACTATTCATCTCAGAGTTTCCTATATTTACCTGAAAATGCTGGAAGATCCTCTTGCGAACCCCTGGCACAATTTGTTTTTCCTGGTGAGAGCTGCAAGGATCAGCATCATCACAAACTACAAGCAAAGAGGAAACTCTGTGACCCAAAGTGAATCAGTCATCTACACAGTATCTGGATATGAAAACTGTATTTCATTTTACACTGTGTTCTGGAATAAAATTTGTTATACTTAGAAGCTAATGGATGTCCTTCTTCATGGAAGTGTTGTGAAAAACTCTGAGATTCATTAAAAAGAAGGCTTTTTTTTCAAGAAACTTGTTTCCTGTACTGTTTTAAAGATGTCTTAATCTATATTTCTTAAAGTTTAGTAAACTCTTTCTGTTTCTTTGTTCTAATTTGTTTTTCATAATTTTGACTCTGGCTACAATAAGTTCTTTGAAACTTCAGCAATACAAAGCAGAGCATACATTTAAGCTGTGAGCTTTGTGGGTTCAAATTTAAAATAAAGGTACGGTCAGCATTTATAATTATGCCCTGATAAACAATACTTTGCCAAACCTTCTTTGACCAATATTAGAGCCATATAAGAGCTATTGATGTATCTTTCTAAAAGCTCAATGCACCTCCTAACTTAACTGTTTTGTTCTAATTTGCTTTAGCTTAGATTGGATGTAGTGCATCTATCAACACAGTTTAATATTACTGCAGTTTCCCTTTTAGATTTAGGACTGTACTTTCACCTGGCCATTCAAATATATTGTTATGGTCTAATTTAAACCATCATATTTTAGCTCTGGCTATATGCTTCGGGTAATTGTCTGTCTGGAAGGTGAACAATTATCCCAGCCTGAATTCTTTAGCTTCTAATAGGTTTTACTCTTGGATTATCCTTTTATTGAAACCATGTTCCATTACCTTTTAACGCTTATCCACAGTATAATGCAGCCCCCACTATGTTTGAGCGTGGGGATCGTTTTCAGGGTAAAAGGATCTAGGTGTCTAGGATCTAGGTGTACTCCTCTAATATATAAGTATAGCATTTTGCATCTGAGAAAATAATTTTATTTTTCTCTCATCTGAACAGGGTACCTTCATCTAGACATCTGTTGTCTCTCCTGCATGACAATCTGCAGATGGCATTTCCTTCTCTTGCTTTAATATTTTCCTTAGTGCCACTCTTAAAAGTGAGGCCAGAGTTCATTCCTTTCCTGTTACGAAATCCCTGAGATCTGAATATCTGCAGCTCTTCTGCGGTTATCATGGGCCACTTCATAGCTTTTCTGGTTAGTTTTTTTGTCTTATTAAAACACTTCTAGACTTTGAGTGTCTTTGTAAATTTACAGTAGTCTAAAACAGAGCCCCCCAGGAAATTCCGTGATCGAAAAAATGTATCTTTCCTCATGTTTTTACCCCCAATGCGATCATGTCAAAGAGTGTGGCACTTAATGACTTAGCACACTGTCACCTTGTTATCAAAAACATAGGAAAACAGAAGTGTAGCTCCACGAATGAAGAAGATGAAAGCAAACTGTTGAGATGTCTGCATGGCCCACAATGCTGTACTGTTTTCCATTGCTTTGCCTTGTCCAGCCTTCAGAACTGTTCTCATCTTAAAGGAAAAGTCGGGTCACATTCAGAACACAAACTTTAAGTATGAAATTATTACATACTTTTCAATAAATTCATTTTTATTTAGGAGTAATTTCATTTGAATGTGCTTTACCAGAGACATCCATGTTTTTCAAAGAACACTACTGCCACCTACCAGTTTGTGACGTATCGTGCGGTATGCTGTATCTGGTGTTTGTCACACTACCCTAATATCCATGATGTCGACGACCAGTGCACTATGCGAGGCAGAGAGTAACGGATTAATGACTGTTTTTTTCTCTTGCCCGAAGTTCGATGTCAAATCCTCCCTCGATGGCAAATCCTCCCTCTTCTATCCAACGACGAACCCTTAGTGGATTCATGTATTGGAAAAGTGAAATAACTCATCCTTTTTTTTTTTTTTACTTTTCCCCAATATATATTACAACATCCAGCAGTCATGCATGTGGGCATTGTCAGTTTTCTATAGCTCTCGCGAATTTCAATGGTGAAGTCCTCTCGAAATCTTTTAATAATTGTTGTTGATTGCAGGGGTGTCTTAGCCTGATAAACCAGACTAAATGGGAGATTAAATGTGTAATTTAGTCTGGCCCCGATGAATGAGACATCAGAAGATTGTTGATGAGAGCGGCCCATTGTCTTTCAAACCATGTCTGTGCCTATTGGCCAACGCTCTGACTGTGACAGGAAGTGCGACAGAAAGCTGTAACAAACAGCCTGTCGGTAAAAGGGCGAATATTTCCTTCTTAAAAATGAATGAGCGTAGAGCCTCTTCCTGCTCACGTTTCAATCCTTCCAAAACTGATACCAAAGCTGAGTCAAACGAGAACTGTTCAATAGTTGTTGCCATCTTCCTTGCTGTGCTTTCCCCAGCGTCGCGCAGCTTTGTCGTCACGCCCTCAAAACCCCGCCTGCTTTTCATCAAGAAATTCAAAACACGTCTCTGATTGGCCCGCCAGTTCTAGGGCCTGGGGCAAAAATTATTTTGACCTCTGGCAGGTGGGGTTAGTTTACTAGGCTAGGGGTGTCTAGTAGTTCCCATTGATTTTGCTTGTAAAGCGGGGAGAATGGCACAGGGCTTGCCGTAATGCAGGGGTGGGCAATTCCAGTTCCTGAGGGCCGCTACCCTGCAACTTTTAGATGTGTCTTTGTTTCAGGACACCTGAATCAAATAATTAGATGATTGAGAGGACTCTGGAGGAAGTGACTGCATACTAACGAGGTAATCGAGCCATTTAATTCAGGTGTGTGGAGCAAGGATGGATCTAAATGTTGCAGGATACCGGCCCCCAGGAACTGGAATTGCCCACCCCTGCCGTAACGTCACTGCCAGAAGATGTCAGGAATGAGGTGTTACTATATTTAGGCAAAAATGGATTTGGGTGAAAAATAGTTTTTATTTTTTTACTGATTAACACTAAATCCATTAAATCAACGCAAACGTCTCAGTTTTATGTATAAATAATGATCCATTAGTTAGTCCTTGATGACCAGACTTTTCCTTTAAGCTTTTTGCAAAACTTTCTCCTAGACATTGCTGATTTGTTTCTTGGTTTTCATGACGCTTACATCTCTAACAACCATCTGAGGAGTTTCCAGAAAAGTTGAATTTATACTGCGATATAACAACACACAGATTGACTCTACTTAGTGGGTCATTTGTTGTGCTGTATTAAATTTTGTTGTATCATAGTATAACTGTCAAAATACCAAGGTTACACTTTTTTAGGAATTTATATGTAAATCGTTTTTAACAAATCACCTAAAGTATGTTGTATAAAATCCCAATAAAATGTGAACATTTTGTACTTGTACCGTGACAAAATGCAGAAAGATTCACAGAGTCTAAGGGCTGTAATGTAAGCCAAAGGTTTATATGTAAGACAGAAAAAAACTTAAATGCTCCTTGTCCCATTAAATCATATGAGTAGCAGAGGTCCACAGCAGTTTACATCAATTACAGACAAAAAGGATCCGGGTCACCTCAGTTCTGGAACAAATAGCCCCTCTGAGGACATTTTAAAGTTTAGTTGTTAAAAAATGCAGACAAGAGGACAGCAAATCTCATTATAAATCGAGGACTTTGATTCACAAAGAAGTTACGTTAAAAAGTTTGTAACAGGTAACCTGAATAAGGGCATCATTTCAAATAGATTCCATACAATTTACCCAAGAATTATTCCTTTACCTTTAATATTTGCAAGTCTTGTTTCTTGTATGTACTTACAGATATTGATAGAATGCATATGTGGAAGTACCTCTCATCTGCAGTCGGGTCACACGGTAATATTACTCTGAGACAGAGAAGGGATTAAGTCAAAATCTTTGTTTAATAAAAATATTTATCAAAAAAAAAAAAACAGGTAAATGTTAAAGACGTAGTACTCACTCTCTCGGAGGTTTGGTCGGCTCAGGGTCAGAATACCAGTCAGAGTACTCATAGTAGTAAAGAGGCTCCAACTCTGTCTTACTCTGATTCATCTCAGCTGTTAATGGAGTCTAACAGGTGAGATGTGAAAAGCAAGCAGCCAGATGATGTTTATTTTTCCTCAAGGTGCTGTTTAGCAATCTGTTGGTGCTGCAATAAATCTGTGAAAAGTTTGGCTTCCACAATCCAGCCAGGCTTACTGAGAGCTGAATGCAAAAGATTAACAGCGGGGCGGGGTGGGTGGGGGGTAAAGGGGGTTTTATGAGGGAAAAGAACCATTCATATTAGTGATCGATTACTTTTCTTCCATGTTTTCAAATAAGACTTGTTAAAAATACCAATTTAAGCTTCTACACTGCTTACTTTGATTAGCCATGTATCCCTAGTAACATGTTTTATTTTAATAATTCGTTCTTCATTGTTTTTCAGCTTCTCTAGCAGAAAAATAGAATGAAAGTATAATTCAGTTTTCTGCTTACCTGTTCCAGGATTTCCTGAGCTTCAACCAGCCTATGACTTTTAAGTACATCCAAAGGTGTTCATTATTTGATCTAAAACTGAGTAATAAGTCTCATTAGTTTTAGTTTATGTTTACATGCACATTCACATAAAAAATGTTTCCTTCCTGTTGGACATAAATTCAGACCAAACTTTTTTTATGCTGTTCTAGCCTGGATAATACTGCCAAAAGCATTTCTTATGGTAAATGTCAGAATACAAAAGAAAGTGTTATTTTGAATCCTCTTTTGAGCTCTGATATTTTCCTGCCAACATCTTATAAAACATTTCAAAAGTCAATAAATGCTGGCTGAACATATGCGCATCAAACCAAATAACAGAAGCAAAATGCACATAAAGGTCCTGGTTCAAGCTGTTCTGAGGTAGTTTCTATTAACAATAAGATATATTCAGTATCAACATGAGCTGAACAGCTGCTAAGAGAGGAAGGTGTCATTATTCCAAAAGCCATATTACAATTTCAAATTCACAAATAGATAAGGACCTATAATTCTGGTGAGAATTTTGTGATTCAATGAAACTGTTTGGTTATGATGATCATTGCTATTTGGGTGAAAAATGGGGAAACATCCCAGCCGGATGTCTTCTTAATTGACAAATCCTTCCTATTGGCTAAAACTCTTTAGTCTCAAGGTGGACTGAAATAAAAACCTTAATGTATTGAACATGTTTCTAATCATTTTAGGAAACCTTACAGTAAAATGTGTCTTAATTTCAGATATGAACCATGTGTCATTCCCTGCAAAGCAAAAGCTGCATAAGGACATTTATGGCTGATTGATTACAGTGATATTCTGTTCATATATGAACCCCCCTCCTTTTAAAGGAACTTGGATTCTGCACAACATGCAGCTTTAAGTTACATTTAAAATATTAATTACCTCAATAATACACAGCTCCACACTTTCTATAAGCTATAGCAGCCATAAAAGAGAAGCCTGTCTCTTTATTTATGCTATAAGCTATGGGCAGCTACCATTTGTCTACCTTAGAAATACTGCATTTGAATGTTCTGAGGTTTTTGATTGATTTTTCCAACATAATTTTCCTAGCAGATCCTATGATTGTGAAATGATTTAGAAACCATTCTAAAAATCAAATCCATCTCGCAGGAGTATCATTATAGCACAGCAAAAATGTCACTGTGTTTTTTGAGAGGTTACTATTTAATTTTATTTTCCTTTTTATATAGGTTTTTGTGTTGATCTGATTCGTGTGGATGCTGTCTTGACCATTTATCCACTATAAAGAATATTTTTAGTCTAAATAATAACTGAACAATAATCCCTTCTAGTTGCACGGTTGATAACACTGCTTCCTTTCAGTAAGACAATCCTTGGTCTGGGATGCTAGCCTGGGATTTTGAATGATTTTTTTTTTGTGTTCTCTGTATGTATGTCTTTCTTTTGTTCTGTTTTTTGTTGCTGCCAGGTACTATAGCCTCTTTTCGTGGTTGGAAAAAAAAAATACCTTTATATTAACTGATCTCACCAAATTGCCTTTTCATATGAGCTTGTGCATGCATAATAGTTTTTCTGTATGTCAAGGATTTACTCCTTACCCCTCAGCAGTTACTGCCTCACCAATAAAAACTGTTCAGAGATGTACCACAGGTTTTCCTCCACCTCTCCACACCTGTTCAGATTATGCGGCTGCTTTACATGTATTTCCACAGAGAAATTTAGGTGGTTTGAGCATTGAGCTGGTGATTTTTCCTTGCAAGAAGCCAGAGACTTTATCAGAGCTTGAAAAAAAGGGAAAAGATGGAAGGCAAGCCAAACTTCTGAAGTTAAACGTTTAGAAAGATTCCAGATTAGTGATTGGAAAGGCTGTTGAGAGTCTTCATTTTTAAAACAAAGAGTGAAAAACCTGTTATCTCAGCTCAGTCATACCATTGTGTGCTTTCTAGTTTGGGTTTGGATGGTGTTATGCTATGCAGGTTTTTGTGCAACGTGGCAGCACAAAATATTTGCTTAACTCCTGCCTGTTGCTTAAGAGACTAATCTCATTATAAGATGAAAATCCCTTATTTAACAAAGGGAGCCTTTGTGCGACAAAAGCTCAAAAAGGTCAAAGTTAAAGTCCAGACATATGAGGAACAGCTTCTTTTGCATTAGATTAAGACTGAGAGTAGTTTTGAAAACACCTACATTATGTGAAAGGGATTAAAAAATGAAGCTTTTGCTTTTGTTACCATAGAACAAATCTTTCAGAAAGCTGCAGTGGAGTTATGTCTCTGAAATCTGATGCTCCTCCTCCTCAGGCAGATATTTGTCTTCCTAATACAATCATCAAGGTCATGATTGTGATTAAAAGTGAGTCTTTAAGCCCCTGCCACAGGATAAACTATCCTAAACTATAAACTATCTCTATCTGAAAGATGGTTTTAATTTATTTACTGTGGGCCATTTTTCCTAAATTAGATTCTAATTAATAACTCCAGGCCCATGCAAAGCTTTTATTTCTCCTTTAAATTTAACATTTTAACTTAAGACTCTGATATCAGTGAAGAAAAGTGCTTGTTCTCATTTCTTCTTTTTCTATCTGACATTTTTTAATTTGAAGAAGAAGGCAAAGGTATACTGACTGACACTTCTTATCAAGCTGACATTTTGCGGAAGTACGTCAGCAATATCTTCAGTTACTTTGTCCTGATTGAATATTATTTGAAGCAGAAAAGCACTTAAATTTGAAACCAGGCATTTTTTTTGCCCCCTATCATGTTGCTGTAGGTTATCATGAGAGGTGAGCACCCATTTCAAGTACTGACTGATTAAAATTTTATCTTATTATATGGTATTACAAAATTGTTTCTTGTTCATTTTCACAGATATGTATCTGAAATTTAAAAAATGGAAAAAAAAACTGTAATTAAAACATGTATATGTTTTATTTGGTGGAAGAAATTAGCCATTCTGCACAAAAATAACCAGGTTGGAAAAACAAAAGACAAAAACCGTTTTGCTAAAAGAAAACCAACACTATATTCTAAAAAACATTATTTAAATTGAAATATAAGACTAGAGCCTATGAAAAAAAGATTTTAAAGCACCCTAGTTCAGCATCAAGTTTTATATCTGTATTGATAATTTAAAAGAGTGTAATGAAATTTTATTCAAATTTGAAACTTTATTAAGCCATTTAATTACGGTAAAACTCTTACTTTGTATAAAGTACCCACCAGTTATTGTCACTCCTGGTAAATATATGAATTGAAAGTCAAAATGACTTATTTTATATGCACCTTTCAGAGTGGCCTTTACACTGGATGAAAAGTGGGATTTTCGTCAATATACGGCACTGTAGATTGTCGTGGAACTTCAGGTTAGCGGCAGTTTACGGCAATTTGCAGGCTTTGCCGAAAACTCCCGTAAATTGTCAGAAATTGACGTGGAATTTCTTAGGCAGTGTTCCCCCCATGCCTCCCCCCCATGGAATTCTAGGGGAGGCTTTATCATGTAAATGAACCTGCTGTGAGCTATACAAATGCAAACCAGGGTTGCAGGGGGGGGTTTTACCCCAAGTGACATCTTTCTAAAAGGTAAGAAAATCTCTGATACAAAGAGATCACGCTCAGTATAGCCTCTTACATTTTAGCTTGAATTGATTTATTTAATTAAAGTATAGAGACCAAAACAGATCTTTAGCTGACACAGCAATACATTTAGAGCAGTAATTATTTTTTTTAAAATTTGCATTTAAGATAAAAAATAAAATGTTGTCTGTCAATATGCTTAATTCACAATTACTTAAGTGGAAACGTTTCAAGAAATTATTCTGAGATGATTCACTTTATAACATGGCGCATTATCCTGTTGGAAGTAGCCATCAGAAGATTGGTACACTGTGGTCATAAGGACATAGGTCAGCATGCTAAATTGGTATTAAGTGGCCCAAAGTGTGGCAATAAATATCCCCCAAATAGATGGTAGAAATAGATCAGGCTCAGTATAGCCTAATTATAGACTCTTACATTTTAGCTTGAATTGATTTATTTAATTAAAGTACGCTAGATTACTGTGTATGCAAATATTATGTAAAAAAAATACACAAAATAATTTATTTCAAAAATTTGTTTTAATCAGAATCAGTTGGCTGTAATGGCGGTTGGCAAACAATTTTTTTTTTTTAGATTTCCACTTTTTTTTTTTTTTTTTTTAATATATAAGAAAACAATAACAATCTCAAATAACAACTCAATAACAAATATTTCAATACAAGAAGAAATATCACAACTCCTGCTTTTGAAAAATACAATTAAATGCACAGTGTGGAACAAAGTATAAAATAAAATAAATAAAAATAAATAAAATAATAATAGTAGTTAAAGTAAATTAATCAGTGGGGACTACCAACTGAAATTCTTCAATTAACTCAAACAATTTAATTGCATTTAAATTCTGCATCTTTCTCAGACATCTTTTGAAAAGGGAAAGTTCATTTTTGAGAGCAGAGATTGAGAGGGAGCATTTTGCATAGCGACATTTATGGATATAATACTTTGTTACAATTATTAGAATATTGATTAAAAATTCCAAATTTTTTTTCTTTAATGGATAAACCGAATTGAATGTTTTGCCAGGAAATAAAATCAAAATTTATTGTTTTAGAAGACAGAAAGGTTCGAAGTTGATCCCATAAGTTTAATACTTCTTTACATTCATAAAAAAGATGTTTAGTTGTTTCCAATTGAGTTGTA